CTCTCTCTCTCTCTCTCTCTGTGTGTGTGTGTGTGTGTGTGCGCGCGCGCACGCGTGTGTGTGTGTAACAATCACAAGAAAGAAAGAAATCAAAAGAAAAAAGTCATTCTTGAGTTGTGTTAACCATCGATTTCTAAAGATGACCTAAAGATGACAGAGGAACGAAAATTGAAAGACAAGAAGATGAATAACTATCTTTATCAAGCAATTGATAGAGAAATCATGGATCAATTCTGAATGACGATACCTCAAAGCAGATTTGGGACTCGATGCAATAGAAATTCATAGGATCAACAAGGGTAAAGAGACCTCAACTTTAGACCTTGAAGACGGAATTTAAATTGCTCAAAATGAGAGAAGGAGAGTCAGTGACTGCCTACTTTGGAGGAACATCACGGAATCTAACAATGTTTAGAAAATATTGTCTGTGGATGAACTTCAAAGCAACCTGCTTCTCATTCATGAGCAGAGTATGAAAATTCCAAATGAGGAAAACATGTTTTGGTTGTGACTCATGACAAAAGAGGTGGAGGAAGAGGGAGACAGATAACTCTTCAACAAACCGTTAATAGAATGTCACAAATGTCACAACTTAGGACACTTTCATTATTAGTGTCCTAATTGGGAGAAGAAAGTTATAGTTATGTAGAGCTAAATGAAGAAGAAGATATGTTGTTAATGACACAGGCTACAATCAACAATCCAACTTGATAAGGAATCTGGTTTCTCGACTCTAGATGCTCAAATCATATGTCAGGAACAAAGAATTGTTGCAGCAAATGGATGAAGGGTTCAGACACTCTGTGAAACTTGGTAACAACTCAAAGATGATGGTGACAAGGAAGGGAATGATCAAGATTGAAGATGAGTAAATAAATCAAACTGTAAGTAATGTTTTCTATATACCTGATCTGAAAACAAATCTTCTTTCGCTTGGGCAATTACAGTGAAAGGACTAATCATTCTTATTCGAAACAACACATGCAAAAATTGCCACCCCACCAAGGGATATATTATTGAATGCAAAATGACTGCAAATAGAATTTTCACAATACCATCAACCGCCATCTTGAAGTCTGTTGAATGTCATAATATCCAATCAGATGAAATGACATGACAGTTTTATGGCATAAAAAGTATGGGCACTTGAACTACTACAACATGAACATACTTCAACAAAATGGTCTGGTTTGTGGAATTCCAAGCTTGAAAATTCCATACAAAGTGTGCAACAGTTGCATGATGGGAAAGCAACATCGTGAAGTTATTTCAAAGAAGAGCAAATGGAAAGCACAAAGCAATTGCAACTGATTCCACTCATTCATATATGGACCCATAACCCATATATCAAACACCAACAAATGGTCCGTTTTGACCTTCATAAATGATTTCAGTCGCAAACGATGGGTGTATTTCTTGACTTCCAAAGTGAAGCTTTTGCAAAATTCAAAGGCTTTAAAAATTGTGTCGAACAAGAGTCTGGTTTGTCTATATGTTGCTTGAGAACATATCAAGGAGGGGAGTCATATCAAAGGAATTCATAGAGTTTTGTAACTTACATGGTATCAAACACAACTTACAACATCCTACACCCCCAACAAAATGGGGTGGTTGAGTGTAAGAATCGTACTATATATATATTCTCAATATGGTACGATGTCAATTACAGGAGAAAACCATGCCCAAAATGTTCTGGCCCGAAGCGGTAAGGTGGACCAGCTATGTTCTCAATCGAAGCCATGCTTCTGCCATTAAAGATAAAACTCCAAAAGAGTGTTGGAGTGGTGTAAAACCTGATGTGCAACACTTCAAAGTGTTTGGGTGTTTAGGAAATGTCCATATTCCAGAAGCAAAATGACTAAAATTGGATGCTAGAAGTCACAAGTGTGTAATGTTAGGGGTATAGTGAAGATGCAAAAAAAGTAAAGTTGGATGCAAGCTTAAACGAGCCCTTACTTGTAGACTCGAGAGCGGGCTCGTTAAGGCTCTGCTCGTTTCGAGCTTTTAACGATCTAAGCCCGGGTAGCTCGCAAGTAGCACAACTCGTTTACATCCCTATGTTTTACAATATTTTTACAACTTTTAAAAAGTTTTACACTTTTTTGAGCTTTTTATAAAACTTTCTTACAATTTTATTCAACCTTTCTTAAACCAAGGAATCTAAATACATCTTATAACATGATCGAAACATGGAAAGCTTTTGGGGGGATATTTTTAGATTATGAGTATGAGAACTAAGAAGGGGGTATTCATATTTGTTGCACGGACGAGATGTCGAGAATGAGCCTCCTTCCCCTTGTTCCACCTTTTTTGGTGGAACAAATTATTATGATTTTTGTCTCTAATGATGTCTCAATCTTAGTCGAACATATACCGAATGCAATACAAAGCAGAATATTTTCTCTTGTCCATAAAAAACTCCCCTAATGCGCTTACAAAATCATAAAATTATCACGAAAAAAATTAGACAAAGTAGCAATTGCCTCCGACTATTCTTGTATGCCTCAAAAATACATGTATGCCTCAAAAATACGTATACGAGTTTTTCGCCCATCATTTATTCATTAGAAAAACCGGTACTGTCAAGGAGTAATCTATGTCCACGACTTGCCTAGCAAGTCAGCAATGTTAATTCATATTAGGGTTTTACAATTATAACAATATAAACTTCACAACTTTCTAGAACATCATACTCCAAAACTCAATTATTCTTGTATAGTTGTATGTCTCTAGCCCTCTGCAACCACACCACTTAGATTCAATACATATTTTGGTCAAAACAAAATTATACTAAGAACCATTCGTCCGTTTTGCTCATGAAAATGCATAAATAATAAAAGAACAAAGATTATGGACACATGGAAGAGTCATGATGCAGAAAAATGGTATTTTGAGTGCATTCAAAATGGTTGGTTGGCGATAGCTAGTGGGATATATCCCCAATATATCACAGCAAAACAACACTCTTACCAAATCAAGAAGCATGAAATTCAACGTCTACTATATTTATTTCCATGTTTTTCTGGAAAACTATATAACAAACATTCTAATTGATATTTTAAATGGATATGAGACATTTGAATTGCTCAAGAAAATGGCATAACTCATAAAGAATAGAGATTACAAACAAAAATGAAGCTTATAAAC